TATGGCAGCAATCCTAGCGGCGATTTCTCGATTCCTGTTTTGTTCATGTTCCACACCGGTTCACAATCGGTTTTCTTGCACTTCTTCTCTTGTAGGATGAGGCGGCATTGACGATTCTCCCAAAAGGGCTAATAATCTATTACCAGCAGCTACCGATTATTGTCCCATTTTGCTGGGTCTGCTGGTTGACTACTGTCGACTCCGTCGCCGGTGCGGTGGTTGATGTTGCTTGCGAAGATGCAGGGGAAATCGCCCCTTTGAAAATTTTGCACGAAGTCATCGGTCCAAAACTCTCGTCAGGCAACCAGTCTAGAATCCAAACGGTTTCTTCCGCATACATCCGTTGGCTGCGTTCATCAGACTTAGTCTACCAGTCGTATTAGCACTGGTGGTACCCCTTTCGTGGCTATTGCCGCCGAATATGGCTGATAATGGTCGGAAATTAGTGGGGCTAATGGAGGTTCCCATATAGAGGAATAAACGCCGGCTGACTAGGCACCACTTTTTCACACCAACTACTGGACGTCTGTTTCGAACCAGGTATCTCACCCGACAGACGTGAAGATGGACCTACTGTAGGTTGAGACGATCCTAGAGTATCATAACCCAAAAAGTGCAAAGGATTAATACTTCAGTGCTCCGGTATCTTACTCGTTTGCTTCTCTTGCCTAAGAAATTTGGTGTAACCGGCCATTGCCCTGGAGCTTTAATAGCACTCAATTCTGCTTGCATCGAATTCACTCGTTCAACAAATATTGCGCTCATGATATCCTTGCTAAACACGGACTCACTAGTACCTATTTGTTTTGGTGAGTCATCCGGCGTCAGCCCCTTCAAGGTTTGTGTTGGAACCGCCTTGCTTGCCGATGGTAGTGACTGATCAGGAGGGATCACATTCGTAGTGGCTGCAGTAGTCATCCTGACTTAGTTAGCACAGAATTGTATTGTCCCACCAGGTGTGCCAAAAATATGTTTGCACAATTTTCATCTTAAGGAAATCACACAATATCTCTTTCAAACGATTGTGCATTGTTCTTAATAACCCGTGCTAAATAAATAAAATATACGAATTTCGGAACAAATAAGAATCGGCCGAAAGCCAGATTTTATTATAATCTTTGAAGGTCAAGTACAGCCGGCGATAATCGACCTACTTTGGGGAGTTCTCGAAGAACCCTAACTTTAGAGATAAAAACAGAAATAAAAGACTGAAAATTTAAAGAAGCAATTTTATGCTATTTTGATTGTGTCCTTCCTCCTACCACCGAACCGTTTAAATAGACTCTACAAAGTAAGTCGGTTCACAAATCCTTCTTCATCAGATCTAATTTGGCTTCCTCCCTTCAATCTGAACTGGGCTTCATAAAATCTCCAGTCCACGGCCCGTTACCAGTTGCGAAAACTGGCCCAACAGCTGTATGTCACATAGTAAACAGGAAATGAAACCCAAATCCATCTGAATTGAATCTCCTAGTTCGCCGGGTGACATCTCTTGATTTAAAGTTGTCTTATAAATTATTTATTAGAAAGTGCATATGTGCATTTGAAATCTTTTTCTTCACTAATAATTACGCAATCTAAACTTCACAATTATACGAGAGTTGTAGTGAATCTGTAGGTTGAAATAACTTAGAGTTCAACTGACCATATCTTGACCATAACTTAGAGTTCAATCTGTAGGTTGAGAGAAATATGAAGCATTTTTCTTCTCCATGTCATCCAGCAATTTATCAATTCTCTCCAAACATGACAACATCTTAGGACTCATATACGCGCTCTCAAAACCAGAATTGTACCCAACATCAAATGAATACCCTTGATAATCACAACCATTGTAAGGATCAGAAGATGAATTGTTCCAAGAGTACGGATCTTTTTGATATGTAGGATAGTCTTGACAACCGTAAAACGGAGTCTCTCCATATCCATAGTTAAAATTCTCCCTAATAACTCCAAAATCCTACAAAAATATTGACACAAGAAAGGAAGGAGAACAAAATTAAAAATAAAAATAAAATAAAATAAAATAAAAATTAATAAAATAAAGGAAAATATATACAAATCTAAATTAATAAAAGAAATAATCGAGTTTTGATATTGTTTAGTGCCTTCCCCGGCAACGGCGCCAAATTTAACTAGTAGTAAAGTAGCAAGTAGGGTCGATTTCACAAAGAAGGTTACTAAGTACCGGTTAAAACTATTTCTTATTATTATTTAGATTAACAATTTATCAATTTTAAACTATTCTAAACCTAAAACTAACAATTGTAATTATTTAAAGATATAAATAAGTAAAAGAAAAACCTAGGGCAAACGGTTCACCAACCGACTATTCAGTTTAATTTAATCTATAGATATGTGACTTTCGACTCTCATTAATCTCACGTCAATTCACCAATTTAAGAATTATACACTCTCGTGTCATAACCCTCTTACTTAAACTAACCCTCTGACTACTCTCGTGACTATAGGGATTAATAAAAGTACATTAAGAACTTTGGAATTACTAGTCGCAAAGGCGGTGTTCCTACTCTCGTGGCTCACTACCTAAGTTTATTATTCCTACAAACTAATACTAACCTTCCACAATGTCTCACAATCACAGAGTGGTGAATTACCCCCCTCCCCTAATTCCACAACTTCGTTTTATCCTGCCTGGAGGTTGTAGTGGCACTGGGACTAGGACAGATTCCCGTAAGGGTGCTATAGTAGCATCATGTATGAATTAATTTTGTATAAAAATTGAAGTTAATATTAATCATATAATTATTAGTTATTTGATGTTGAAGTTAATAAATAAAATCTAATAATTACATCCCATTTCATTTTCAGGAAGTAGCAGCCGATCGAAAAAATCGGATGATCGGTCATGGATTGTAACGGATGCAGTATCTGGTGGGCCTGAAGATGGATCGGTTATTCCCAGCTTCAATGAACACATTGTCTCTTTCTAATAGTAGGGTACGGATCGAGGTTGTCTCAAGTTACAGAACAGAGACCTCGTTTGTCAGATGTTGACAGGCTGGAAGAGTTCCCCAGATTTTGAAAGGGCGAGGCCGCTGGTTAAAGCGACTAGGTTGTCTCATCTTCCAAGACTGATGTTCTCGCATAATGATATCGGCCCAGCATGTGCGTTCGTGGAGCGATGGCAGCCAGACACGAATTCGTTTCACATGACTGTTGGTGAGATGACCATCATGCTTCATGATGTCCAGTGCATTTTGTCCATCCCTGTTGAGGGAGAGATGGTGACGGCTGTTCCCAAGTGGGAAACAGTGAAGAACCACTGTATGGGTCTTTTGAACTTATCTGCAAAAGATATGAAACCCCCGAAGTATAAGAGTGGTGCTATGTTAGAGTCATTTGTCATGGACCGAGTCCGGGGTAGCACAAACCCAGAGGTATAGGCCACTGCTTAGTTGTGGGTGATGTTGAGTGCCACATTGTTTGTTGTCAAGTGTGGGGGCGGTAGAATACATGCACAGTTGTTGCACGAGATTTTTTATGACCTTGATGGTGTTTCAAGTCATTCCTGGGCATCTGCGACTCTAGCATACCTTTACTGTTAGGGGTTGCTAGTAGAGGTTGTGTCAAGCAGATGGGGGGTTGTTTGACCCTATTGCTAGCCTGGATATATGAGTATTTCCCGATCTCCGGCCTCATAACCCACACCAGGTGGGCGATGGACCCAGAGCTGCACAATGGAAGCCAGCCACGTGTACTGCTGCAGAGGGAGAGGTGCGATTGAAGAAGTTATGGAATGACCTTAGCAGCTTATCCCCATATGATGTAAGTTTCATTGTTCAGATTTTGTTGTTTGTTTGTTTCCTAATTTTTTTAATTATCTATTAATATGTATAACTAATTATTTATTTTGTGGGTGGTGTGGGAGCTATTCGGTAAGGACATATACAAGGTGGTGCCTAGAACAATCTTCACTGGATGGCTCACTTTCAGGAATTTTGTTGAGCCATTCAAGCCAGATCACGTGTTTCAATAGCTTGTTTATGTGCAGACAATTCTTATGCCTATTGTTGTCCTGCAACTTGCATTGAGGCCGATGAGTGGCGACAACTACAAGGTTGAGTTTTCTAAAGTGTATGCGGGTAATGCTTGGCTTAGATTCCCTCAGTCAGGATGCCTTATTCTCAGCTCGTACACTCGTTCGGCGAAGGCAACATGTGCTGATGGTTATCTCGACTGGTTCTACCATTATTCCCATCCTAAGCTTCTCCCTGAGAATGAGGGTTCTTCGGTAGTCAACTCTATTCCATCGTGCGCCAGTGTTCAATACGCAAGTTGTTTAATATTTCTCCTGATTAAGTTTATATTAAATGTTATTATATAACAATTATTCTTGTTTGCTTCTACGATAATGTAGTGGACATATCAGTGGTTCGACTTTGCTGCTAGAGCTATCAACAGGCTGAGGGTGACCGATGATGACTACGGCCCGGAATTACAGAAGGAGTGTGAGGATCTCATTCTTCGCTGGAGTCAAGTGCGCTGATGTCTTTTGCTTTGCCTTGTTTTTTAATTCGGACCATGTTTATTAGTATTTGTTTAATTATTTTTGAATTTCAACTTAAACATTGTTGTATTTGAGACCTGTAATTGTCTTTTTTAATTATGTTTTTTAACTTGCTCGTACATTACAACTAAAATATGTAACTGCAAACAAATTGAATGACATTGTGCTGAATATAATAATAGTTAGGTGACAATTTCAAATACACCAATCCACAGATAACTGGTACTCTACTCAACATTAAAGGGAGAAGACTGAGGGGATTGTGTCCGTCCATTATCAGGACATAAAGTGTGCCAAAGCTCTATTCTCTTAAGATGTGGCTGCTCCCAACCAATAACGGAAGTGTCACAGTGGCGGAACCATTGATAAGGTATGGGCAGAACTGGAAAATCTGAACCCACAAAATCTAGCCGAATATAATGCTAGTAATCGCCTAGGTGAGCAATGGCAATCTCCCAAACAGGTCCGGTTAAAGGCCCATTAGGGCCCCGGGAGCGATGAGGGGCAATATAGTGCTCGATGATGTATTCATATTCTGACCTCTTACTCCACGCCCGTACAAGAAGATAACTATGTTGAAGCGAATGGCATAAATGAGCAAGTCCATAAAAGTAATCATGTAATGATCTTCAGAACAAGGACTCTCATACCATCGTATGCGGTGAACATGCTTGGGAATGTCTCTTTTGAAGAAGAAATCGTACAAATTTGGACGTTCCTCTAGCTCATCTGCGCCAATTCTTCTAGCATTATGCCATTGATGCTCGGATCCAAACAAATGGCTCGCCATAACACGAAATCCACAGTTTCCATCACCCAGCACATCAACATATCCAGTAATGTATGGAATCATACAAGGCACAATCCTCTCTAGGTCATCATATTCGTAAATGTTTTGTTGTACCACATCTATAACGTGAAATATACATATCAAACATTAATAAACAATATATAGTGTTCGACATAAAAAAAATATTAATAAAGGATTCTTACCTTGAGGAGGCCCATCAGACTACCGAAAAACCCATTGACTATAGACTTGTTCACATGGTTTGTTCTTGCTTCCTTTCGGGCGCCCCTTGCCTTTCTTCTTCTTCTCTAGTTTCTTCATGTGCCCTCTATCTAGGTAAAATTGATCATAGAGCCAACCATTCACCCTGCGCATAACCAATGGATCTCCATTCTCGACCACGCCAACAAAATGTTTCCACAAGACTTGATCATCTGACAGTTCATCAGGCCTAGTATTGACGGACTCTCGTTGATATTGAGATTAGCCCAAAAAGGGTTGAGATCAGAAACCTGAATCGCCATACCCGCGTCCACTGTCACCTTCATCTCACAACCACAAGGAATATCATGAGTGGATCTCAGCTTATGATCACATACAAACTTGTCTCTCTTTGTCTGCATCTCTTCATACTCCTTGTGCAGCTTTTGCAAACAATGGTGCGAAACAACAAAATTGAGGTGATAAAATGGATAACCACGGTATGGTATTGCATTCTTGTTTTGCGATTCTTCTAGTGTTCTCCTGAGTGACAAGAAATCAGGAAAAAATATATTAACACCCAAAAAATTAAAGATACACACATGAATATTAAACTAAGGCATTACGTACCTGATTTCAATTAGTTGCACCTCAATCTCATTGCGTGCCTTTCTCCAAATCGTGTCAATAGCACCTGTTGGCGAGTCAATCCAATTCTTTAGTGTCTTATGTGCACCCTCAACTCTGCATATTGTCGTGTTCCCAAAGTACAACTTTTTATTCGTCCATGCAGATACAAACTTCTCTTTGTGCGGTAACCATGTTTCTTTCACATATGTAATTAAGTCCTTATAAGGACTATAACTGCAATACCAAGAAAGTACTTAATCTTTCTAATAACCAAATATTCTACTTCAAAAAAAACAGAATTATTCAAAAAACTTATTAGAACTTACTGTTGCTCTATAGTTCTGACTAGTTCTTCGTATGCTTCCACAGTTTCAGCTTCCATAATTTTTTACCACCTTCCTTCCCCGAACTTTTTAAGCAATACTAAAGTGCCGCCATAGAGAGTCTGGATTTTGGTTCTCACATCTCTGTGGATGTGCCATGTGTACAACAAGTGGGTAGACTCGGGAAAAACATCACTGATTGGTCCCATTAACCCTGACTCTCGATCACTGAATAAAACCTTTGGCTGCTCTTTATCTCCAAGTAATAGCCTCAACCGTAACAACGTCCATCGATAGCTCTCAGCAGTCTCAGCATCCAACAGAGCATAGGCAATCAAAAAGTTCTTGTTGCACGGAGTCATCCCGATAAATTCAAAAAAAAAGGCATTTTGTACCTGTTGGTTTTGTACGTGCTATCCATACCGACGACCAAGTGGTACGCTCTATACAACCTCACTGATTCAGGGTGCGCCATAAAAACCCGGGTCAAGGCCATTGTACTCGGATCTGACTCCGTCGCAATTATGTAGTTGTGTTCTCGGGCCAACCAAAAAGTCTTGTTAGCAACATCAAGACCTGTGCCATCAAGTACTACGCACCCCATCTTGCGCAGGTTGTTTCTGTAGTTGTAAATTTGGCGCTTCGTAAAATGATCATCTGGATACTCCTTTTGAAGTGCCTTTAGAATGTAAATCAGCCTTGCTCCTGCCGCAGACATGTCTTTTATCATCTTTTTTGCTCCATCGGTCAGCTTACTCATCTGGCAATGATCCTCTGGATGTTGTATCATTGGATGATTGTGCTCTGCATTTTCACTGGTTTTTGGACAGATTCTATACACATCGCTCGACCATTCTTTATATCTTCTGATGAACACCTCAAATTTACACCCAGTCACTTGGATCTTCGAATTTGGTCGGCGCTTATCAGTTTCATCTCTGTACCTCTCTAGCCTGTACCGTCCACGTTTCTTGCATTTCAGCAAATATCCGTTGTCCTTCTTTGAATCTCTCACTAATTCAAAACTATTGCTGATTGCAATCTCTTGTGCATGCGAAATAGCATCATCCTTTGATTGGAATATCTCATTAGTGTTAAAAGAAACACTGTGATCTTCGTTTTCAGTTGTATCCTGCAAATTCCAAATATATACTCTAAATAACTTCTTAGTAAAATACCTAATTACTCTTACTAAATAAAAAAAAACTTAAAAAGGCATAAAATAATTGATTTGCATGAATAAATAACTTAAATGAATACTATTCAATTTCATTATGATGCCATAATTAATAAAACACGATAAAATAACTACATAAATCAATAAAACTAAAATTTATTAAAAAAAAAAAATACCTGGGCCGCCGGGCACACCGGCCCGGGATACGCAAGCCGGTAGACACACCGGTTCGCCCATGACAGGACGGCAACCCTGGCGTCCCGTGTTGCCCTGGACGCTATTGGCCATGTCTACTATGGCCACCACAGCTGCCAGCCCTGTTGGCCGGCGGCACTGCCGTCTCTGGTCGTAAAAACTGGCAGAAATGCCGTCTAGACTAAGCCGGGACGGCACGACCATCGTCCCGGCCTATTCCGAACGGTATGTCTGCCGGTTCGGCCTATTTCGGCCTAAAATTCTACAAGTCTTATCATTTTTTTCCCTTAACTCTGAATCACTCATTTTGGACTGAAAAAATGAAAAGGGTGGAATGGTATTTTTTACGGCGATCTATATATTTTACTCTACGGTCTATATCCAAATGAAAAGGGCAAAATCATCTTTTTCACGGCGGTCTTTATCTTTTTCCTGACGGCCTCTATTATTATTATTATTATTATTATTATTATTATTATTGAACAAAGGAGTCAGAAATATTACATAAATTAAATTAAAATTTTTCTAGAATAAGAAATACTGACAATGTCATCCTCCAACCATTATTTCATATGCTGATCAATTTAATTACCTTGTTTTAGTTTCGCAATAACACAATGTTTTAGAACATTTTGGTTTGATGTTTTCCATTTGAATATGTCAATATGTTTTGCTGTTCGCCTTTGATTCTGGTTCCACGAAAATATCAATGTTTTCCGAACGTTTTCTTTGATTTTCATATGGTTTAATTGATAGTGATCCGCGCGAAAATGTTTTGGTTACAGCTATATGTAAAACGTATTGCTAGCTTCTGTCTAAAAATTACAAAAAAAATTATTCATATTAAATTTTGATATTTATATTAATTTTGGTATAGAGTTAAAATATCATTGAAGATTGCTTTTATGGGACGGAGGGAGTAATTTTTTTATTGTCAAAAAGCGTATCATTAGCAGTAGCAATTCTTTATTTGACGGAGAAAAAAACATATTTCGCCACAGTAACAAATCAATTTTTTCTCTTTCACAAACATCCAACTATTTTCGTCTTTTTCCTTTTCAATTTTATCTCCAGGCTGTAATTAAATACTACATCTATCGTTTAAAAAAATAAATTACACCAAATTTTAAAAGTTGTACTTTATCTAGTACTTACAATTTCAAAACTGAATGTCAATTATTTTCCGGGATAGAAGTAGTATTACATTTTTTTAACTCTCTTTCAGAAACGTTTTAATTTGAAAGGAGTCAACGAAAAACCATAAACAGAGAAATAAAATCCGCCAATATTCAGCAAACAATTTAATCAAAGTGTGGTAGGACCATAAGAAATGAAGCAATCAACCATGCCGATAGTACCACTCTTATGACCATTGCACAAACTTATAATGTCGTCCATCGCAGCCTGCATACATGTATCGCAATCTTGTTTAGTCAGATGTGCCGAACAACGTCCGACAGCCACCGCGGCCACGCCATAAACATCTACATACGACCTGTGTTCTTCCCCGTCCTGGAACATTGGCGTAAGGTGGCGCACTTCTCTAAGCGCTTCCGTGGCGACGCCTCCGTACGGATCACCGGAGGAGTATGTGTCGGAGCTGCATTCTCCGTCGTTGATGTCGGTGTTGGGATCACTATTCACGACCAAGCACGAGCAGATTAACCCGAGGAGTATGAATAATGTTGCAATTTGAAGCCTCATTTTTGTTAGCAAGAAATGATCATAAGAAATATTGCAGAATGTAATATGTTCGTGAGTTATGTGGGTTTAAATAAGTGAGAGAGTTTGGATTCGTAGATTAATTTTCTCACTGAATTTGTCCATATTGTTTGCTGGCTAGAAGATTCTCCTTCTGCTCTATATTCATGACATTGTCAAAAAAAGGTGATAGATAGTTAATGTGTTGTATCAATCCGCTTGTCTTATTACTTACTAACACTTAGTCATTGTATTTTTATTTGACATTATTTTTGGAAAGCTATCAATTATTATATAGAATAAAAAAACAGGGTTGGGTACTTATAAGAGTAGCCGAAAGGTTTCACAAGAAAAAAATTTCTCGAGGCTAGATATTTGTAAGCTAATTTAATTAGGCTAATGATATTGCCAACCAATAATTAGCTGCAAGAGCAAATTATTTATAATTTTTCAAAATTATCCTTGTTCGAATAAAAAACTAAATTCACTCTTATTTATATTTTATCTTCTGCGATTTACCATTTCTTTACTGCAAACGAAAAACTCAGTAATTACGTTTTCCTTCTTGTTCCTGTACGAAAGTATTCCACAATGACCAACCAATCCCACTTCAAAATCAAGAAAAAAAATTGTAATTTATTTTTCTAATTAAGTGTAACTGGAAATCCACAACCCATTTTCAAAATTAAATAAAAAAGCTCTAACTCCGAGTCAGCCAATTCGACAAACTCCATTCAAGTTTCCATCATTTCCTTTATCAACAAAAATTTGAAGGCAGCAACAAAAAATTTACCCAACCCACATCAAATTAAGGAAGAATATATTCAGTCAAAAGTTTTGTGTCGAAATTGAATAGGGTGAACTTTTGTTGTTAACCGGAAACTAATTTTGAAGATAGTCTTGAATTTTGCTATCAAAGAATTAAACTTGAGAGAAGACTTAATTATGTGTTTTCCTACAAATGTATAATCACCTTAATTTGCATATAGGCGGATGAAACAGATTAAAAAAATTGAAATTTGATTTTGAGCATGATGCAAAAGGCCAAGATGGAGGAATAATTGGATATAATAATCAGTTCTCATATGTGTGTTTGTCAAAGAAAGAGGACGACGTGGATATGCAAACTTGGGTAAACATAGAATTTAGAGTTCAATTCAAATAAGGGTACTTCTGAAAAAATTGAAATAATTTACTCTAGCTGCTAATTATTACGCTGGCAATATCACTAGCCTTAAATTAATTAACAACCACCAAGCAGATGCTGTTTTTTATTCGAAAAGAAACAATCTGCATAACGGATGAGTCATTCTTGTGAATTTAGGTTACATTTTTGTACTTTCTATCCCAAATAACAAAAATAACAAAACAGACATTCCTTTTTTCACCGAGAGATTTTAGTTTCCTACCTTATCTAATTATTAAGTTCGGCAAACATATTTCGTTGTTGAGTTTCTAAAATATTTAAAGTCTTTTTACCGTCTTTTAGAATTTTATTATCAAATCGTTTTCATCACAAATTTTAAGATGGGGTTTTTACGGGAATTAGTAGGGAGTTGCAAGTCAATAACACCTCGTTTTCTATCAGCCAAATGTTTGGTATTTTTAATTTCAAACAGTAGGGAGTTGCTAGAATTTCCAACACTGGGTTCGCTTCGCTTCCGCGTTTCACCGATACGTTTTACATCATTAGAACTAATGAAAATCGTAAGGGAATTTTAATTATTATCTTTATTAAAAAAAAATAGTTCAAATTGAATTTTTTGACTTGTACAGTTTTTAATTTAAATTTGAAATTTTTCTTTGAACTATTTATTTGGGACAAAAACAGTAAAAGTAATCAATGAACGCGCTAACGTAGTGTTTTAATAATTACGGTAGAAATTGTTTGACATTAGCATAGATAGAAAATCTTACCACATAATCATATTCGATACTGAGATATACCAATTTATTTTAACCAAGAAACGTAGACATCCGCTAGCACATCTAATGCGAGCTCAAAAAAATTCTAGTTTACGTATATATATTCTGTTCGTTTTATTTTAATTATCTAGTATTCCTATATCAATCACAAACAAATGTCGAAGTACACAGGAAAAACACATATAAAATGCGAAGAATTATTCTTACAAGACTTTTTTTTTTTTAACACTGGCGTCACAGATCAAAACACCTCAACTGTGTCAATGATATTTTAACCTCTCTCTCAGCACACTAGGGGCGAAAACACCTCAAGTGTGTGTTTCTTCGGCTAAAGATTTCTTCGACAAATTGATGTCCGCTATGACAAAGAAATCTAGGAAGAAGAGGGAATCGGGTGAAAAGAAGGAGAAGGAGCAAGATCTGGTTGGGAATCAAAGTGTGGAAGCAACTGCAATGAATGCGAATCAGTTCCAGGTTCGTAGCCCTAATTCTGCATTAAATGTGTCTGAAGATCCTTTAATGCATGAAAAAATCTGTAATCAACGTGTAATTGCTATGGGAAGTGATTTAGATGATGGTGGAAATGATAATTATGGGGATTTGAAGCACAATGAACAGAAGAAGCAGAGTGTTTGGGATGGGATAAATGCTCAATTGCTGAATAACCAAGCTAAAAAGTTTCGATTCATTGAACCGAACAAAGTTAATGATAGTGAAGTTGGGAAGATCATGAAGGAGGAAGTGCAAAAGGAGATTGAGTATTGGAAACCATCTGTGTTATGCTATGTTTTGGGGGCGAATCCGCCGTATGCAGTGCTGAGTGGTTTTATCAGAAGAATATGGGGAAAAATGGGTGTAGATAAGATCTTACTGCTTGAAAATGGAGTGTACATCATGCGTTTCAAATCAATCTCTGTGAAGGAAGAAGTACTCAAACACCCTGTGTATCTGTTTGATAGGAAACCATTCATTGTTAAGGAATGGTCTGTCAACGATGAGCTGAAATTGCATGAAGTTAAGATTGTTCCTGTGTGGATTCAATTTCCTAAACTGCCTCTTAGATATTGGAATGACACTACACTTAGCAGATTGGCAAGTATGATTGGCATGCCGGTAGAAATGGATGACATGACTGAGCAACAACTTAGAACTGCCTATGCTAGAGTGTTAGTGGAAGTGGAAATACATGAACAGGTGAAGGATAAGGTGTGGTTTGAAAATGAGGCCGGTGAATTGAAGGAACAGAAAGTCATCTATGAATGGAAGCCAGTCAAGTGTAAGAATTGTAAAGGTTATGGTCATTCGTCTGATGAATGTAGGATTTCAGTTCCTAACGTTTGGAATCCAAAAGAAGTTGGACAGAAGGATCAACCATAATTGACACCAAAAGGAAAGGAACGTCAGGAAGAAGAAGGGGAAATTGGGTAGACAGGTGGAAGTAAGTGGATTAGTAGAATGGAAAAGTCTCCAACAAGAACTCCTGACAGCAGACCACCAGTAAAGAGTACAGTCATAGCTCCAAGGAAAGATGCAAGCAACAGTGAGAAAGGGATTCAGATATTGAATCAGAAAGGCTGTAAGGTGAATGAAGGAAGAATGTGTAATAAAATGAGATCACTTAATACTATCTATTATTCTGTTTCTAGTCACCCTGATCCAGGGCCTAGTAAACATTAATAACATCACCTCATGGAACATAAGGGGACTTAACAGTCCCCTAAAACACAGAGAGATTGGAAACTTTCTTTCTGTAAATAATGTTGGTATTGCAGGTTTGTTGGAAACTAAATTGGATAAGGAAAAGGTGGAGGAGTTGATGAAGAGGAAATGGAGACAATATGACTATGTGGAAAAAAGTGAAGGAGGAAATAAGGGAAGAATCCTATTAATTTGGAGAAGAGATGAGTATATTATAAGGGTGGCTCAAATAACTCAGCAATATATCCACTGTTATGTGAAGGAGGTGGGTGGAGCTAAAGCTTTCAACCTGACAGTAGTATATAATGAATACACTGCACAGAGAATAGCAAATGTTTGGGCAGAGTTAAGACAACTTAGCACTAATGTGTGTGAAGAATGGATTGTTATGGGGGACTATAATTGTATATTACAGAAAGAAGACAAGATTGGGGGAGTGAATGAAGTCAGTGCTGATACAGAGAACTACAAGAAACTGGTTCAAGAGAATGAATGGTGGGAAACGAAGACTTATGGGGGTAGATTTACTTGGACAAATAAACAAATTGGTGCATTGAGAATCTTTTCAAAGTTGGATAGAGTGTTTGTTAATGATAAATGGCTGCAAACGTATACTGATGCATACTGTACAGTAATGCCTGCCGGTATTTCATATCGCAATGCTCTGCTGATCAGGTGGGGAGAAGGAATGCAGAAGAGTAAAAGATCATTTAGATACTTTAACATGTGGGCACAGCATCCAAAGTTCTTATCAACAATTGAGCAGGGTTGGCAACTAGACATGGAAGGTACTAAACAATTCCAGCTAGTGAGAAAGCAAAAATTGTTGAAACTAGCACTGAGACAGTTTAATAAAACGAATTTTGCCAATATAGAAGAGAAGGAGTAGGAATGTAGAATACAAATGGATAAGATTCAGGAGGCCCTAAAGCAGGATCCATTGAATGAGGAAATACAAAAATTAGAAAAAGAAGCAGTACTGGAATATACTATAGAATCAAGAGCAGTGATCAGTTTTTGGGCACAGAAATTAAAAGAAAAGTGGATATGTGATGGTGATATGAATACCAAGTATTTCCATCCAGCAGTCAGGCAAAGAATAAGCAGGAATATGATTAAGTCATATGTTTCAGAACAAGGGGAATTGGTGGAGGACCAATGCAGAGTGGAGGAACACTTCATAGGTTACTATAAAGAGCTGTTGGGGAAAAAGGTGGCAAGAACCAATACCAAGAATGAAATATTTGAAATAGGAAGTAAACTGAACCTTGATCAACAGGTATTTTTGATTAAAGAATTTACCAAAGCAGATGTAAATGGCGCTTTATTTAGTATTGATGAAACTAAAAGCTCTGGTCCTGATGGATACAATAGTGGGTTCTATAAGAAGGCATGGAACATAGTGGGAGATGATTTCAGCAATGTCATACTTGAGTTCTTCAAAACTGGGAAACTGCTGAAGCAGATCAATGCAACCATGATAGCACTGATACCAAAGAATGCAAGCCCAAAGAATGCCATAGAGTACAGACCAATCTCCTGCTGTATTACTATATATAAATGCATCTCTAAGATGATTTGCAAAAAAATGAGCATTGTATTACCAGATTTAGTGGAGTGCAATCAGGGAGCTTATGTCAAGGGCAGATTAATATTACATAATGTGTTGCTGGCACAAGAGTTAATCAGATTGTACAACAGGAAATCAGCAAAGCCATCATGTATGATGAAGGTTGATTTAAGGAAGGCGTATGATTTAGTTCACTGGGAGTTCCTTGAAGAAATGTTGTAAGAATATAAGTTTCCTGAAAGGTTCAGAAAGTGGATTATGGAATATGTTACATCATCTACTTACTCACTGAACCTTAATGAAAACAGTGTTGGGTATTTTCCAGGTCAAAGAAGATTGAGGCAAGGTGATCCAATCCATTACTCTTTGTGCTAGTAATGGAATACCTCACCAGAAGCTTTAAATTGGTGGCAAATATGGATGGCTTTGTGAAACATCCATACTGTGAGAAATTGAATATAACATCACTAAGCTTTGATGATGACTTGTTAATATTTTGTGGAGCTGAGATAGGAACAATCAGAAAGGTTAAAGGAAATCTAGACCATTTTGCAAGCACTACTGGTTTGAGAATCAATGAAGGAAAGTCTAATCTATATTTTGGTGGATCAGGAGAAATTACACAAATGGTGATAAGGCAGGTGATGGAATTTGAACTTGGAACCTTTCCCATGAAATACTTAGGACTTCCAGTGGCTCCAACTGCATGGAGTAAATCAGATTGCCAGTACTTAGTGGATAAAGTAACTGGCAGGATTAAATGTTGGGAATCCAGGCACCTTTCATATGCTGGAAGAACAGTGTTGATCAATGCAGTGTTGATGACCCTTCACAGTTACTGGGCAAGTATTTTTCTTATCCCACAATCTGTTATAACTGAGATAACTTCTTGTTGTAGGAAGTTTCTGTGGGGGATAAAAGAATCTGGAAAGTGTCTTCCTTTGGTAGCTTGGAATGATCTTTGCTATAAAAAGAGAGATGGAGGCTTAAACATCAAAGAACCAGGTGCTTGGAATAAAGCATTGTTGGGCAAACAGCTATGGGATTTGGAATCAAAGAAGGATAGTCTATGGATTAGATGGATGCATATTTACTACTCAAGAGGCAGGAGTATTTGTTATTATTATCCTCCAAATGATTGTAGCTGGCATTGGAAGAAGTTGATGAAAATCAGAGATGCTCTGAAAGGAGTAGTAAATGGTAGTTGGACAAGGAACAATGGTAAACTATATGATGCCAGAAGTGGTTATGTGTGGCTGAGAGTTAGCAGAGGGAAGTTTAAACCAGCAGATATTTGTTGGAGTAAGTTCTCTCTTCCTAAACATTGTTTTAGTTCATGGTTAGCTTGGAAAGGCAGATTGCTAACTATAGACAGAATGAGACACCTGAAGATGAATGTTACAGATCAGACTTGCATACTGTGTAAGGAAAAGGAAGAAACAGGTACACATTTGCTCTTCAAATTCTCTTATGCACAGGAACTGATGGCTGAAATTACTTAATGGTTAGGAATCATAACTCAGATTAAAATCATGTCTATTGCAAGACCGATGCATATATGGAAGTATAAAGCTACCAGAAGGAGGATCCTGTTTGCTTGCTTAAATGTTGTGGTGTATCACATTTGGAATGAAAGGAACACAAGGCTGTTCCAGCAGAAAAATGAGGTGGCTGAGGACAGAATCAGAAAAATTCAGCAGGAAATGAAATGCAGAATCATACATATGTATATGAATGGAAGTGGAGATGATGTTAGATTTTTGGAAAGTCTTGGTGTTTTAATAGCTTGTTGATACAATGTACAGTTGATGATACTTCAATGAAATTCATTCACATTTTACCAAAGAAAAAGACTTATTCTTTTTTGTTAAGTTTTGATTTGGACGATGCATATATGTTGTTTGCGAATTAAGGATTTTGTTAACCAAAAGAGAGAGAGAGAGAGAGAGAGAATCAGGGATTTAAATAGGACTTGAGTTTGAAGATTTCTCAACAAGTAATGTATTCCCTCGATCTAAAAAGTAAAGTTCACATAAAATTTTGAAATTTATATAAAAAAGAGCATGCAAATGTGTTGCGGGCTAGAAGAAACCCCTAAAGCTCTGCATTCACTTGGACATGAAAAACGATAATAATTATTTGTGTCCAAAATTATGCATGGTAATCCATTTCTCTTCTTACTAAAACAGTTCCCAATGGACGATAGTTTTCAATACTAGCACTTTAAAAGTGTAACAGAGATCATACCAAAAGAAAATGAAAGCTGGGTATGGAAAAATACATTTAATTTAATTTGGTCTCAGGTATTGTAGTCTTTATTTGTCTATTAGGTCAGTTTAACTATTAGCTGGATTTAAATTTGGGTATAACCATGCATCTATGACGATTCAAATGTTTGTTAAGAGAATTTTGTTTGTAGAAAAATATTGTAATAGAGAATATTATTTCACGAGAGCTCATGAGTTCTACGCATTAACTACATATCGTCCAACCAGGAGATAAAAAAAAATTTTTTCCTGCGAAAAGCAGTCTACATGAACAATAGAGTGACTCTAGTTGATTCGGATGATATCATTTAAATTTTCATCCACAAAAAATATGTGACTTTATTGATTGTAAACATTTAAATAAATTTGAATTTTATTTGTTCGAAAAGGCAGTGAGTATATTATATTTTTGAAAAAGGCTGTTTAAAATGCATGCTTTCCAATTCCCACAAAAAAGTCTTGTTTAAATTTTTTTTCAATAAATAAATACGCTTTTCTTTTTTCGTTTTTTTTTTTTTGGGGGACTTGTAGCATGCATTTGGGAATTTTTGTCCGGCGTATAATTTATTCCTTCAGTTTCAAAAAAATAATTCAAATTGAATTTTGAAATTTAAATTAAATTTAGTACAAATTTATAAAACTTAATATGGACTACTTTTTAGGTAAGAGAGTATTAAACATTGAAAATATGAATGTGTCTAATAAATTTGTTTTCCACCTTAACTACAATTATGACATATTTTCAGCTCTATAAAGATTCTTGATGCCACAAATGACAATACTATTTTTCTTTGGCCTTGTCAGACATAGAGTAAGATGCTTAGGTAGTACTCTCCTTTTCGAAACAATAGTCATCATTTAAGATTTCACTGAAAAATATTCTACAAAGCACAATTAAAATAAAGTTCTACTTAAATTACCAAAAGAAGAAGTTCTATTTACGTCTTCATACCGTTGTATTTTGTCAAATCGTATGTGCAAATGATGTGAATTTTCGGGTACGAAAGCCGTAAGGGTCCTCTCAATATAATTTAGTGGTACATGATACACTGAAAAATAAAATTAATGTAGCCTTGTTTTGGCATGCAATTGATCATCGTGTTATAAATATATATTGTGGAAAATGCCAATACGTAATTCTAAGTTTTAATTTGAATTCTTCTTTTGATTACTTCTAATTATTATTACTACAATTACTAGGTTTGATTACATTCAGTCGCTAAGGTATTTTTGTTACGTAATCAATGCATCAGTGTTATACATCTAGGTTCAGCAGGAGTTCTGGAATTTAATCTCACCCCATAAACACTATACAAAATTTCAATCGCTACGTACCGTATATGTGTACGTAATGTGGAATATGATTTTCCTACTGTTGAACAGTTCTATGAGTCTAATTTAATGAACTAATGTGCAATATACAACTTGATGGTGCAAAACTTTGATAAGTTCATAAAAGCGGAGTATACTTTGACGACAAGTATATGGATATATATTACTTTATCCATTTTAGAAAAATAATTCACTCTGTTAACTTTACTTTAAGTCTAAGGGAATATATAAATAATTTCACCTATATCACAAGTTGTCAAAAACTAGGGGAAAACAAAAAATTAACGCAGATTATTGATGCACTTTTTGGCTGACACAGAAGATCAGCCGAAAGGTTTTACGAATATGTCACCAAACATAGTTACAAAGCGCCAAATTAAATTGAAGGGACAATATCGATTTCACTAGTTCTTAAGTGGTAACGTTTTAATATCGATAATTTTTTATTTTTTTTTTTTGCAAACGGAAATGGATTGCGGTTTTTTTTTTCTTTTTCCCCTACGTAAAGGAAGGGGTCTGTGGCACTTAAAGCTAAAACTGAATTTCATCCTCTAATCAGCTAAATTAGAGAATTTAAAACGGTGCCATACATGCCTAATAATCTTGTGTTAGAGTAACGTTCATCCCGAAATAAATCTACGCTTCCAAAGGTAAGATGTCACTGAGTAAACAGGAAATGAAAGCCAAGATCCATCTGAATTGAATATCCTAGTTCGCGGGGTGATATCTCTCTTGATTTAAAGTTGTCTTATAAATTAGTATTAACTAGAAAGTGTATATGTTTCGCGGGATGATATCTCTCTTGATTTAAAGTTGTCTTATAAATTAGTATTATCTAGAAAGTGTATATGTGCATTGAAATCTTTTTCTTTGCTAATAATTACACAATATCTAAACTTCACAATTATTCGAGAGTTGTAATGAATCTGTACATTGAAATGACTTAGAGATCAACTGACATATCTTGACAAATGAAGACCCCTGAAAAAATAAAGACAATAGATTTGTATTTTATCATTGCCAAACGGATTTGATATTTTCTAAATTGTACCAAGTTAGAAATTTGTTGAGTATCGTATCATTGTTGCTATAGTGAAGATATATAAATTGGAAAACTTGGATATTAAGGGTTGTTATTCCTTTGAGGCGATGATGGTGCTTAGTCAGGACCCTAAGACTAGCTAGGTTGACCAAGGAATTTTTTTCTTCTCTTTTTCTGTAAAATGAAATAATTATATTTTAATGTTCTTTCTGGGGAAAAAGAAAGAATTATATATAAAGCTAGGAACATATAGTGACTTTGAACGCAAGAAGATATCAAAAGGAGTGATAAATGAAGACAATATCTCTTGCTTCATGAGGATCACAACGTCAGACAGAGTAGACGGAAATATTACAAACTCGTAGAAGGACGATAATGAAAACAACAAAATACTAGAGTGGAAAATATATTATTTTTTGTCTAAACAATGGTACACATTGAATTTTTAAGTATCTTATGTTTATTACAAATTTTAAAACTCAATGTAAACCATTCTTTTTAAGAAGATATCAAAAGGAGTGATAAATGAAGACAATATCTCTTGCTTCATGAGGATCACAACGTCGACGAGTAGACGGAAATATTACAAACTCGTAGAAGGACGATAATGAAAACAACAAAATACTAGAGTGGAAAATATATTATTTTTTGTCTAAACAATGGTACACATTGAATTTTTAAGTATCTTATGTTTATTACAAATTTTAAAACTCAATGTAAACCATTCTTTTTAAGAAGATATCAAAAGGAGTGATAAATGAAGACAATATCTCTTGCTTCATGAGGATCACAACGTCAGACAGAGTAGACGGAAATATTACAAACTCGTAGAAGGACGATAATGAAAACAACAAAATACTAGAGTGGAAAATATATTATTTTTTGTCTAAACAATGGTACACATTGAATTTTTAAGTATCTTATGTTTATTACAAATTTTAAAACTCAATGTAAACCATTTTTTTTAAGATAGATGGAATGTATTAATTTGCGGACAAAACTTTAAACAGGACCAAAATAAATGGAACAATCAACCATGCCAATTGTACCGGCCACATGGCCATTGCAAAGAGCACTAACATCGTCGTAAGCTGCTCGGATGCAAGTGGCGCAATCAACTTGAGTTAAATTAGTCTCGCAAGTTCCGTGACTGAAAGCGGCAAAGTCGTAATTACTACCGTCGCTGGTAACACTGGTGGTGTAATCAAATCCGGTAGCATAAGGCGTCGCGCTGAGTACTTCATTAAGCGCCTGAATTACGGCGTAGCTGTAAGGGTCTCGTTTCGAGATCGTGTTGGGATCGCAATCTTCCGTTGTAATGCCCGTGTTGGGATCGCTCTTCACGCCAAGAAACAACAAGACTATCAATGTTGCGACTTGTAGATGATGCTTCATGTTAGAAATTGTGATGAGAAGAACTTTGAAATTAAAAGTTTCTGGGATTTTTTTTATGTTAATTTGAAAGGGTACGTACGTGATGTTGTATTGTAAGGAATCAGGGTTTATATGCATGTTGGATTTGTTGATTTCTCCACCAACATAACAACGTAGGAAAATGATGTAATGTCCATGGTGCAGGCTTGAAGATGCTCCTACGTATGTAGGTACTTTTGAAGAAGTTAAATAAATTGTTGTGCACATGAATCTGGAAAAAATTCTTCTACTTGTTTATTTGCTCATTATTTAATAATTGATTGATTGATCTAATAATTGACGAAATGAAAATTCTTTGTCACAGTTTCATATGCTGATTTTTTTTTTTTTTGTACCAAGAAGAGCATAAACCTTAAGTAAATTAAATTAAAATGTTTCAATAATAAGAGACACCGACAATATTATACTCCAACCATAATTTCATGTGCTGATCAATTTAATTACCTTGTTTTATTTTTGTAATAATATACAATGTTTTAGAACATTTAGGTTTGATTTTTCCTTTAGAAATATCAATGTTTTCCGGACATTTTTTTCTGATTTTCATATCGTTTAATTGATAGTGAGGCGCTCAAACATGTCGTGGTCGCAGCAATATGTAAAATGTATTCCCTATGTCTAATATATATATATATATATATATATATATATATACGGTTTATATTAAGTTTTGAGATTTATATTAGTTTTGGTATAAATTAAAATCAAATGAAGATTGTTTTTCTGGGAAGGAGGAAATAATTTTTTGATCATCAAAAATCCTTTCATTAGTTGTAGCACTGGAATTTTTGGACTGAGAAAAAACACATTCCCGTAAGGAATTTTTCCTCTTTCACAAGCATCCAACTATTTTCTTCATTTTTCCTTTTTCATTTTCTGTCCATGGTGTAGTTAAATACTACATCTATCATTAAAGAAAAACAAACTTTCACGCACTGAGTTTAAAAATTGTACTTGTCAACTATTTATTCATGATTGAAATAGCATTATATTTTTTACTTATATGACCAAGAAACGTTTTAATTTTGAAAGGAGTCAACGAAAAACAATAAAAGAGAAATATAACACGCCAAAATTCAGCAAACAATTTAATCAAAGTGTGGTAGGACCATAAAAAATGAAGCAATCAACCATGCCGATAGTACCACTCATATGACTGATAACACTTAAATTTAATCACTTTTAGCAAGCAATTCTTATTCATTTTTATCTGTAAATTAGTGTCAATTAAGTAGAATTAGTTTACTTGGGTTAATTCTGTATTTCAGATTGATCAGAGGGCTAATCTGGAATTTCTAGATAAATTGGGGCAAAAATATGGAAAAGAGCTTCAAAAAAGACCGGAATTGATGTTGGAAATCAAAGGCTGAATGGATCGATTGGAGCTAATTAAGAGGATGAATCCTTGTTGATGAAGCAAGATTTACTGCAGTACCATCACAAGTTGGTGATACTTGCAATAGGAAGCCAAAGGAAGAAGAAGAACTTGTAGCCACTCTGCTACAAGTGCTGCTGCTGCTGTCAATCAAGGAGAAAAAGAGGCTGAATACTTGTCGATGAAGGAAGAGATTACTACATCATTACTGCAAGTTGCTGTTGCTACAAATGGAAGAAGAGAAAGAGGGAGAATACGAAGAAGAAAGTGCCAATTTCTCTGCTGCTTGCCCACTGATGCTACCTGTGATTGAAAAGAAGGAATGGTTGCTGCTGGAGGCAAGAAATGGTGCTGCAAATGATTCCAGGAAACAAGGAGGAGAAAAATAGAAGATTAGAGGCTAAATTGGAGTCTGAGAAGGAAGAAACAGAATAATTGAAGAAAAGCAGGCTGATGATGCTGCTGCTATTACTGCTGCTGAGGATTAAAGAAAGAAGAAAAGAAGATTCGTGGCTAAAATTGGTGAAGAGACGCTGGAGAAGACTAAGACGAAAGGCAATAATGAGAAGAAGGTGGTTAATTATGGCTGAAGAAGAAAAAGGGTGGTCAAAGAGAAGACAACAACTTGACAAATTAAAGAAGTTGCTGAATAAGCAAACCTCCAGCTGCTGCAAGTTGCCACCTCTACTCTACTGCAAAGGAGAAGCAACCAATCCATGCCTCTCCAATTCTCTATAAATAGGAAAACCAATTGCAAATCTAAACAAAAGATAGGAAAGTTAGATTAGTCCTTAAAAAAGTAGTTAGTTAGAGTTAGTTAGGATAGAAAACAGAGAAGTAGCAGTAGGAAAAGTCAAACTGTCACACGGACAAGTGACGAAGTACATTTCCCCAACTGAGCAGACAGAATCTGCCCTGCTACCTTTCTTCTCCATTTTGTCTTCTAACCTTTTGAGTTTAATCATGCTTAATCTTTTGTATTTTGTTGCTCTCGCGTTTAACTCAATAAACATGAGTAGCTAAACTCTTATTAGGGTCTAATCCCTACTATCGATATGTGAATGTTTTGATTCAAGTTCTTATATGAAACAGTGGAATTCTAAGCCTAGTTTGTTTGAATTTTAGAGTCATAGTATAGCCGAAATTGTGAAGCTAAAAATTAGGGCTTCCTAGTCCTAGTTGAACTTGAATTTTGGTTGTCTATTTGTGTTACACTTGGAGACCAATTCGGTCTAGTTTTTGTGTGTTCGCATGGCCGAAAATTTTAGCCCTAAAATTAAGGTCATTGAGTCCAAATTGTGTTATGATTTGAGTCCTATTCGGTTTTGGATTTTTGTGTTCACATTGGCCGAAAATTTGCTGCCTTTGTTTCCTAATTGTAATACAATTTTATTGTGTGTTTTATTTGAGTCCTACTTGGATTTAAATACTAATTTTTTGCATGTGTTAAATTATAATTTCAGTGAGATTATAATTAGAGTTTTAAAGTGAGTCTATTTTCGAAAACTATTGAGATAAGGAAGTCTTATCCTAATCTGAAAATTTTTGAGTCTTCTAATACAATTGTGCATGTGTGTGGCCGTGTATTTGAGTCCTATTAGTAGTAGGGGGTCGAAAATTTTATCTCTAATAAGTAGGGATGAATTTTCCTAATTTGTGTCCAAAAAGGATTATGTTTACCTAAGTTTTAGGACTCTATCCTTGTCTATATATATGAGGCTGGTTTTTCTTCTTCTTTATTCCACATTGTCAAGCAGCCTTAATCCATTAAAGAGGGGGGGAATATTTTTGAGAAAATTTAGGTCCTATCTTGTAGGAGTTTTCTTGCACAAAAAGACTTGCATTGCCTATAAATAGGGGTGCTGTTTTTTGAAAATTCTCACATCACTCTACTCCAATCTTCTTCTTCTTCTTGCTGCCGACATCAAAAGAGAAAAACAAGAGAAGCACTCTTCTCTTTATTCTGAAATTTTGAGAGTTAGTGTTCTTAAAAGCACAAGAGAGTTTTGTTTTTGGGGAGAGCTTTATTCGAACCTTCCTTTGGTTCTTGGGGGGTTCGGCCGAACCTACTTTGGTTCTAGGGTTCAAGGAGTTTTTGTGTAGTAACCAAGGCACATTACTTCTTTTGTTGGTGGTTTCTCAGAGTTGTTGAGCAAAGATGTCTTCCGGAGTTGCTGGTTGTACTCAAAATGCTTCAAAGAGTATAGAGGATCGCATGGAGACTCAAGTACAACTCATGAAGAGTCAAATTGACTTCTTACATGATGCTTTGGCCGAGGTGAAGGAGGCAAACCGAGACTTGTCTCAATTGCTTTCAAATCAGCAAGATAAAGCTATGGTAAGTTTTGAGAAAATTGCTGAAAATTTAAGAGTCTTATGTGATTGTTTTGAAGTTAAACAAGTACCCTCGTATGCTGGAATGTTGCAAGTGTCATTGCCTTTGTTTTATGGTTGTCATAGAGAATATGATACTTGAGAAAAGAGCATAGAGAATTTGTTTGTGTTGCTTAACATAGAGAAAGAGAGTGAGAAAATAGCCTTAGCTATAAGTTGTTTTTGTTATAGTGCTTTGAATTGGTGGAAGCTAGTTTCAAATATCTATTCGCATCATTGGTATCGTAATTTGGATGATTGGCATGATTTGAGAAGTGCTTTGCGAGAAAGATATGCTAGTACTAACACCTTTGATGAAGCAAAAGTGAAGTTGCTCAATTGTAAGCAGAATGGTAGATCCATTCAATCTTACTTTGAGGAATTAGAAGGGTTGTTTCTGAGTTCAGAAGTGGATGAGAACAACTACATGTTGACAGATCGTTTCCACTATGGCTTGGACAAGTGGTTCAAACAACACCCAAAGATAAGGAGGCAATCAAGGCTCTATGAGGCATATTATGCTGCCTTAGAAGTGGAGAGAAAGCATGATACTTCTTGTGGTTGGAATGGTCCAATTGAGGATCAGGGGTTGATGTTTGGCGCTGAAGATGGTGATCAACGGACTTGTATCTTCCGTACTAAGTGTTCGGTTGGGTGTCCAATGAAGTTGATTTGGTAATCGACAGTGGGTCGAGTACTGATTGTATAAGTGAGGAATTTTGCATAGCAAACGGAATCAAGATGGATCCGCATACTAGACCATACAAGCTTCAATGGTTGAGTGACGAGATGGTTGTGGATGTCACTAAAAAGGCAATGGTACCTTTTCAGATTGATGAGTATAGGGATGAAATTTACTTTGATATAATTCCTATGTCTCTTTGTGATATTTTGCTAGGTAGGCCTTGGCAATCAGATGTAGATGTTGTGCACCATTGCTCGAAGAATATCTTTGTCTTTACTAAAGAGGACAGAAAGTATATTCTTAAGCCTTTGGCTTATGAAGAATCTGAATCTGTGCGAGAGAAAAGACGTAAGATAACCTATACACTAGGGAGAGAAAAAGTCGAGAGAGTGACGCAAGAAAGTAAAAAGGGTCACGCTGAGGTAAGACTTGAGGTGAGAGAAGACCATGAAAACAGCGTGGAAACAGAAAAAAATGCACGCAATGAGAGAAAATTAGAGTGTGGTGAGGGTGAGGATTTTACTAACC